GAAGCTCAGTTTACAAAATTAGCTCGCTTTGCACCCCACATGGTAGACACATATTACAAGAAGGCTAGATAGTTCGAAGGAGGTTTACGTGACCCAATTCTAGATAAGATTAATGTACTCAAATTGCCGACGTATGTGGATGCACTTGATAGGGCACTAATAGCAGAGAGAAATGTGGTCAGCCGTAAACAAAACTTCGAATGGAAAGGCAGAAAACAGAATTTTAGCAAGGGAACTACGTCAACGAACAAGAAGTTCAAGTCGGGGAGTTCTAATAATACTAGTTCAAGCCAAAGTGGTAATTCAACACCAGCTTGTATTACATGTGGAAAGAAATATGGAGGTGTATGCTATCGTGCGACAGGGGCTTGTTATCACTGTGGGAAGTTATCACATGGAGGAATTACCCCATTCCCAACAAATACAAATTCAGGCATATTAGGTGGTCGAAATATAATAGTTTTATTCATACAATCAATAGTTGCACAGTACTTCGTTAACCAATCCATACCCAATATGCAGTCAAAATGATCAATTCCCAAAGGTAATAAATCAACATATAATGTCACATCACAAATCATAATATCACATGACGGATAAACATAAGCACACATCATAGAACCTCCAGATGGTGTAGATACAGACAGTAAATAATTCATGGGTTCTAAAGGTCTGGTTAATTTCTAGGAAAAGGCATGCGACACAAAAGAGTGTATATAACCAAAATCTATCAAGACATAAGCATTTTAGGCACAAATTGAAATTATACCTGACACCACGGACTCGGTGTTCTGCACATTCCCAAGCACTAGTGTGAATACTCTTTCTTGTCTCAATGTTTCATTTCCAATATTACCCCTGACATTCATTCTTACATTAGGCCTCGATGTAGAAGTAGATCCAGTTGAACTTGTTACAGGACGGTTGGCATTTTCTGACCCAATTGGACAATCTCTTATCATGTGGCCTGTCTTGCCACACCGAAAGCAAGCACCAGATACACGATGACAAACCCCTCTATGCTTTCTCTCACATTCAGCACAAACAGCTGCGGATCCATTACTTTGACTTGAGCTGCTCGTAGAACCCGTGTTTTGCTTCTTATTCATAGCAAATGTGCGGCTCTTTTTGAAACTAAATCCAGATTTTTTACTTTTCCACGCGGTTGTTAGAGCCTTCGTTTGTTTCATTGCAGCTAAATTGGCTTCAACCATCAGAGCTTTATCAAGTACATCTATATATTTGGGCAATTTTGAAACACCGACCTGATCAAACACATCTGGATCTAGTCCGCCTTCAAATTTTTGAGCTTTCTTATAATTTGTGTCTACCGTATGTGGGGCAAAGTGAGCTAATTTAGTAAACTTGGCCTCATACTTCGCCACTGGCATTTTGCCTTGCTTGAGTTCTTAGAATTCAGACACATTGTGGTCTCAAAAGCACTGCGAAAAGTATTTTTTGTAGAAAATATCTTTGAATTGATCCCAGGTCAGGGCCTCATTGTCACTACGAATAAGCATCCACCAACAATGAGCGTTCTCCTTTAAAGTATAAGTAGCCAAACAAACTTTTTAGGTTTCAGAACAAGGAAATACTTTAAACAATTTTTCCATCTCTAGCATCCATGACTCAGCTTTCAACGGCTCAATTCCACTCAAAAAGTTTGACGGCTTCATGTTTGTGAATTTCTAAGTCAAGTTGATAATGTCATTGTTTTCTGGTTCAACTTGGACCAGAGAAGGCGGATAAGATAGAGATTGTTGTCTTTGTTGTTGCATCATTGACGATGTTAAGGCTTCTAGCATCTGTTCCATGTGACTCATTTGGCCCTCAGATGATTCGATTGTACCATCACTTCTTGTACTATCCATTTTTTTATTGATGAATAAGGCAATAATAAACATAGGAATAATATTGTTCACAGTGTTCGGAGTATTCAATTTCAGTTCATTCTTTTCAATTTCACATGTTCATGTTCATGTTCAGATTCAGTTTTCATATTTACAAAACACATACTCACACATGCAGATGGAATGTCCTCAATTCTTTTCTAGGACATCCTATAGCTCATATGGACTCATGCATACAGTATAATTCGTGCTCTGATATTACTTTGTCACGACCCAAACCTACACCTCTAGGTTTAGCGTCGTAACCGACTAGTAATCCTTGGATTACCAAAGGCCTCTGTGTAGAATAACATATAATTAAGGGGCTAGCAGAAGCAATTATACAAAATACGACGTCCATTGAGCTGTGTAGACATACATGAAACTGAAATTTAAAACCTTATATACACACATGTGATGTCATAAGTCTTGCGTCACCCACATATACAGATAAAATCAAAATGGGGCTAGTCTAGTAAACAGAGTAAATAGAAACTTGTTTAGATTTTACAAAAGAAAACAAGATCTTAAACTTAGTTCACAAAACACAGCCACATGACTACTCTGGAACCTCATCGGGAGGCACAAAGGTTGGCCTACAAAACAGAGTTCCAGGCATTCATCAATGAGCCTGGTTGCCCGCCTAGTCACCTACATATATAAATAATACAATGAGTGGGAGCCCGGTGAATAATAACAAGATAAAGGGTTTAAGGAATGTTGTTCATAATAAGTACAGAAAACAAAATTCAGTTTATAACAGAAATGGATTCATATTCTTATTTAGAAATCAGTATTCATCGCAGAAATGAAATCAGAATCACATTCATAATCAAAATTGACAGTTAATTATACGTAGTACATCCATTAGCACTAATGGAAACAGTTGACCCATAAGGGACGACCATGCAGGCATACAGTTGACTCACGTGCACGGAGACGGTCTAGTTGGTTCATAAGACGTACAGTTGGCTTATAAATGAGACGTGTACAGAAGGATCCATAATAGTTGGCTTACGAGATGTACAGTTGACTCATAATTAGGGCATAACAAAACAGATAACAGATGTCATCTGAAACTAATGATGCCACGAGTACATTTTAGAAACATTAGACAACCATTCATTCATACAAAATAATATTTCAGAAAATAGATCATCTTATATCATTCATAAAATACTTAGAAATTGAACATAGCTTTATAATGTTATTACTCACAGTTGGCTCCAATAGCAATTAGACAGACAGAGCAGATAAAGCAGACAAATAGAGCAGATAACCGGATAGCCTATGACGCATGACCTACACAAACACAGAATGGATGCACATTGAAACACATGCTAGGAATTCATTTAATTCATTTCTTTCTTGCCTGGGTGTGTTTCTAATTTTTATCCTCATTACAATGTCTTAATTAGGGATTAAGAATGCCTAGGATGCTATAGAACACTGAGTCAAATTTTCAAAAATAGGGCAATCCGCTAGAGTGCAACTTCTGTCGCTCGAGCAGCCTATAAAGTCTGCAAAAGTATTGGTTGCATGATTTTTACGCTCAACGTCCGCTCGATCGTTGCTCAAGTACAAGACTGAGTAAACAGAGTCTCCGCTCGAGCGTAACTTTTAACGCTTGAGCAGTCTGCAAAAGTTTGTAAAACTTCTGGGAGCTCTCGTTTTATGCTCGAGCGCAACTTTTGTCGCTCGAGCGGAGGGTCAAAAACAAGGATGGTCACTCGAGTGCAGGTTTTCTGCAAAAGTTTTGGGAGCTTGCATTCTTCGCTCGAACGCAGACTCTACCGCTCGAGCGGAGGGTGCAAATTCTGGAATTTCTAGATTGATGTTCAAGTTTCAAAACTCAAATTCAAAACAACAAAACACATTCTTTTGAATTCAAAACTTGAGGAAACATATGTAAACTTGTAAAACATGGTGAATTCAAAATTATTTCGCAAAATCCAAAAACATGCCAATTGTATAAAATCAAACTTGACACTCATGGTATAAACATGCATGTAATTTCTTCAAACTTAAACCTTTCAAATCATGCTCAAACAAGGTAAATTGGTGGAAAACATGATAAAGTCTCATAATTAAGTTAAAAACATGACATGCATAGAAGAATTCCTTGAAATCAACTTCAAAAATGCCATGAAATGCACGTGCATGCTCTAATCTTCCTCTTCCTACTTCATTAGTTCATTTCACACATTAATCCTTCATTATCCTTTCAATTCACAAATTAAATGAGCCAACTACAACTTAAGGGTTAGATTTCTTACCTATAAGTCTCAACTCTTTGACTACTAGAGTGATTCCTTCCAAATTCTCAAGTTTTAGCTAGAATCCAAGCTAATTCCTCTTAATATCCCTTCTTCTAGTTGTTGAACTTGAGTCTCACCTCTCTCACTCTCTCTCCACGTTTGGTCTTAAGATTGGAAATGAAGTGGTGCATAAGAGAGTTCAAGAATTGTAATGGCCTTAGATAAGCTACTTAGTGGAGCTTAATTAAACTTGGTTTAAACTATTCAAATTGGCATTATTGATTCTAATTATTTAGTTTCGAATCAAATTTCAATTAAACTACAATAAAATTCTAAAAATTCTAAATAACATATATACTGAGTCAATTTCGTGATCAGATGCCGATAAGGCCTTCAATTTGCATTAAGAAATAGAGACACGGACAAATCTTTTCACAGCAAGCAGATATAAACACAAATAATGCAACACACATGTAATTAATTCAAAATTTCTTCTTAATTACTTATTAGACATTCTTAATCAAAAATTATAGGCTAATCACAGGTCGGGGTTGTTACACCAGCTGTACATTTTCTTGCCTAACCATGGTAATATCACTAAGAATAACATGTTCTGCATTTTTAAGACCATAGGAAATATGTAGCATCCTTGAATCCTGATTACAATTTTATTGTTTACAGATATGAATCTATTCTTCAGCCTGGTTATAACTGCACTGCTAGAATTGAGAAAAATACATCAAAGGCAAGGGGTAGGCGTAAAAGTTCAAATATTTCCACTTAGAACAGTGTTGTTTACAAATGCCACTCCTACTCACATAAAAACCTGAAGAGAGGGACTCCTCGAGGCCATATGAAAGAGATACATCCTCCTCAGGCCAAACCATCCTTCAAATGTGAACCTTCACGGTCCACGGTTATCAAGTCTGTTAAATTAAAGGAAGGTGCAACGGGCAATAAAGAGGTGAAAAAGGTAGATAAGATTGCTTTTCCAGCAGTAACCACCGATGATCTTGTCATAGACAGCCCAGCTCGAGCATCGCCATCTGTCAGAACTGGACTGACTTTGTTGGAGGTCAGGAGAAGAAAGAGGAATAGGTTGGGGGCTAAGAAAGCAGCTGAATTTGAAAGCAATTCTGCTACAACTGTTGCAGAAAATTCTATCAGCATGACAAACAAGCGGAAGAGAAAATCTTGGACCAGTCTGAAGGAAATTGCTGAGAGCAGTGAGCATGGTAATAGCCAAAACGTCACAAACTTGACAATCCCATTTTCATATAAAGAGGGTTAATCATTTTATTATGTGGATTGCTGTACGATTTTGAAGAAACTGCAAAAGTTGTTATCTTTGGGGATTTTCTATCTTGTAATTTATAGAAGAATAATGCAATATGTATCTATTAGTGTACTAACTAGTGTACCAATTAATGATGTGGCATAATTTAAGAGATTTTTTATATTTGTAATGTGATTAATGAGTGAAGTCAATAATAATATTATAACTAGTATTGGTACACTAATATGTACACTAATTAATGCATATAGTACCACTGTTTATAGAAGGTTGAAAAAGAATTCTGATATGGAGTTATGGAAATCTCTACATATAATCGAAGCATTGCTTTATAACATTTTTCATTCTTTTAATCCTCCACTGAAATCTTTTAACGACGAAAATGTTAGCAGAGCCAAAATAAATAAATAAAAGGTAAATTACATTGAACTCCCCTGAAGTTTGGAGAAAATGTAGTAAGTCCTACAAGTTTAACATAATTATTACTAAGCTCTCTTAAGGTCTTAATTCATATAAAACTTGGCCCATTTTTCATCAGAAATTCGTTAGACGTATGAATGAATAAATGATATTATCATTTTATTTATATTGAAATATATATTTTACTTTACATATTTTTGTGTCTTCATACTATCTGCATTAGTTTTGGATTCTTTAATCTTACTAAAAAAAAGGTAAGTATAATTATATAAAAATTGTAAGACTTAGGTCTCGTTTGGGAACAGACTTTTTAAGTAATTTTTTAGTTTTTTTAGCTAAAATGTGATGTAAAAAAAATTAATATGCTTGGGATGACTTTTTGACTTTTTACGAAAATATGTGTAAAAAGTAGAGAAAAAATGAAATCTTTAACTTTTTGGTATGAGTTGTTGACTTTTTGATTTTTTTAATAATTTTTTAACTTTTTGACTAAAAGAGACACTTATCAAACGAAAACTTATTATATTTTTTTCGAATCTCAACGGAAGTCAGTATAATTTACCCAACAAAAAAAATTAGCAATTTTTTGCGAATTCGATGAGTTACCCCATTTTCCATTAGATTATGTCAAGTCTAATAAATAAAATATAAAAAAAAAGTCTTCATGATAACTTGTTAACATGTTTAAAATAATTATAAATTTCTCTATAAAAGTGGATAGTTGAAGAACGTATAAGGTTAAGTTTGGCATCTACTAAATAATACAAAAAGTCAAAAAGTCACTATCCTATTTAAGTCACATCATCTTATTTAAATCACATCACCTCTTTAACACATCACATCAAATCCAACCCAAACCCAACCCATATAAGCTAATAAATCAAAAAGTTCTGATACATAGAACATCTCAAACCAACCCTTAAGGAGAAGAGATCTGATCTGGCAATGTTGGCATCTGCTATTTCACTTGCCATATTTGAGAACACATATGGCATCTGCTCCAATCTTTGGCAAGGGAAATAGCAGACCATTGGAGACTGAATTTTGCCATTTCTGTCATTTTTAGCTTTGACAACTGATATAGCAGCACCATTGGAGATGCTCTTACGTGGTGTGTTTGATATATGTTTTGACAGTAATTTTGAAGATAAAAGTTACGAAAATTTGTTAGTTTGTTTCTTTTTTAAAAATGGTTTTGAAAAATTATTTTGGGGAGAAAATTTAAAAAAAATGATTGATTTGATGTGTATGTGAGAAAGAGTGTTTTGAAAAGTAGATAACCAACAAAAATTTTGAGATTTTTTTTAAAAAAATTTATTTGATTTGATTACTTTTGAAAATTTATTTGTAGAAGAATTTTTTTTAAAAAATAAATCAAATAAAATAAATAATAATAAAAAATAAATAAAATTATTCATAAAATAAATTCAACTTCTATATCAAGTCACCATCTGAATTGTAGAACCCTCACATCAAATAAATTCAACTTCTATATCAAGTCACCATCAATTCATGAATAAATTCCCAACAAATTATGTAGTAGATCATTATCACATCATTCACTGGTTGAGCTACCGATGGGTAAGGAGTTGTTTGGAATACTTAAATAAGTGTATTTTTATCTTTTTAAAAAAAATGTATAAAAAAAATAAAGAAATAATATGATAAAAATAAAAAAATAAAATTATGTACTTATTTAAATAAGCCAAAGTTAACCTAAGTTACTAAAATAGTTTCGGGGTAGAGTTTGTGCCAATCAAAGTTTCTGCAACTACTTAAATCAAACAGTTGATTTTTTTTTAAATTATTATTATTTTTTTCCCTTGTAAGTAACCTATACATACAATGCCCTAATTTTGACAATTTCATGCTTAGAAAGTACTTGGCAAATATCATGGCTTTTTCCAATTAACACTAAGGTTTTGTTTGGCAAGTAATTTTTTTAAGTTAAAAAGTTTATTAAAAAAGTCAACAACTGTATTAAAAAGTAAAGATTTCTTTTTTTCTATTTTTTGCAAATCTTTTGTAAAAAATCAAAAATTCATCCAAAATATTAATTTTTTACATCATATTTAGTCAAAAATAAAAAATTATTAAAATCTGTTCCCAAAACGAAACCTAAATTATAAATATAAAAATAGATAAATAATAGATATGAATAAATATTATTTTATAGATTTTGTCAATAGATCTAATTTTATAAAATTTCATATGTTTATTTATAGATATTGTATCTGGTTTGGTATTAATTCTGTGGAACGGTGAAAGTACGTTACTCAAGATTGATGACTTGTGAGTTATTGGTCTTTATGTTGGGGGTTGGCTTTGTTGGTGGCATTGCTCTCACCACAAGGAGCATTCTGGTCAATTACAATGTATCTATGTATTCAAACATTAATACACATCCCATACAAAAAACATTAATACACATATTAAATAGGATTCGGGTGCCTGCTGTGCTTAAAGCACAGCAGGAGGTGCCATGCATACAACACACTTAATAAAAAAAAAAAACAAAGAAAAATTATATTAAGAAAAAAAGAACCAAACCATGGTGGAGTAGCACAGGTGCCTGCTGTCACAGCACGCCCTTTTCCCTA